CGAGTTCCTAAGCATAATCGGAAGTCAGTCGGTCGCACTGTGCTTTGGGTTTTACGGCGCACAGGTGCGATTACACATGAATTTTTAGGTGCACAACCAAAAATCCAGTCGCATATGCGACCAGTTAGTCGCTAACTTTGAGCCCTGCACAGGTTTGACCGTAAAGCCTTTGTCATGCAACTCTAACCTCGACTGATGACCCACCAAGATACTGAACCATTCAAATATATACCTTAAACACTTGTTCTTTAAAACGTATCGTTAAATGTCTTTGTTAAGTCTGTTTTATACTCAGATTCCCTATATCTTTTTCATTCTATAACTAGTGACCCACCAAGCCATTTTGGTTAAAGATAACTGTAAGTATTAGTCACCTTAACCCTTTTAGCCCCAATATCCACTTACAAATTCTCCAAACTGATCTCTATATATTTCCTTAAAGAATGAGTTGAGAGAATTTCATAAAAGATCAAAGCATTCTCTCTCAGGTGATCATTTTATGACACCTTTCGCTGCTGAATAGAAGAAAATACACATTTATTTGTGTGAAACGGCGACCAATAGCACGAAGATACATTCATTAGCACAAAACAATGAACATTTACATAAAGCAGATTCATCATAAAAATGTTAATGAGCATTGCTTGCACTTCAATGTTTATCTATTGTCCCTATTGACTTTCAAGATGGTGTTAATGACTTGCATTTTGGTGTTAATGGGAGTATAATTATAATTTTCTCTTTGTATGCCGAGTGACACATATGAATGCCCAAAAATGTTATTGAAATATGTTGATTAATTATGCAAAAATCATAATTGAATCTGATTTATGCGTAAATGTTCCTTTTTTTCGCTCTAATGAATGGATCTCTGCACTTTTGGTCACCGTTTCACGCAAATGAATGCATATTTTCTCGTAATGAACAGCAAAAGGTGTAATTCTCATAACCTTTTCTTTCGATGATGTATGGATATCGTTAGGAGAAAATTGATGTTGGTCACTATTGGGACTTAAAGCAAAATTCGTTGTAGCCCAAAGGGCTCCCAAAAAATTCTCTTAGGCAGCAGCCTTGCTCTAAGGAAAATGCAGATGTTCACTCACACTTCCTGACCATTGGTTACTGCTAGTTATAGCAGTTCTAAATTTGATTTGGGTTGAGATACATGCTTTTCAAACTGGCAAAACCAGTGGTTCCATCGCTGACCGTGTCCCTTAAACTAATCTATATAAGCACCAATATCAGTTTTAAAAAAATCTATTATTATTTATTCTTTTTAGGTTTGACTTGAAATCATATTTATTATTGCGTTCGAGGTACGAAAACGCAACTCCTAATTTGTGTTGGGTGTTCTGTGCATTATTGGGTGTCCTGTGCAATTAATAAGGGAGGCTTTTTTGTGATTACATTTTCATCGTGGACACACATTTGCCTCACTTTGACATGCTAACTCGTGGTGATTCTTGTGTCCTTGATGTTCATCTTTCAGAGGTTTGCTTAGGTCTGATATTGTGTCTTCGTAAAGCGATCATCTTTTAAAAGTTTGCTGAATCTTCGTAAAGCGTACATCGATCTGTGTTTGCTGAATCATCCAAAGCGTTCATCTTTCAGAAGTTTGCTGTTAAATTTTACTTTAGATTAAGCCTTCATATTTTTCAGCTTTTTTCAGACTCCTGGTGCATGCATCAAACCAGGTTTAGTTCGGCGCCCGTTTTGCCACAAAGTAAATTTACCGAGTTGTGTAGCTCGGCCACCATTGTGTCACAAAGTAAATCTACCAAGTTGTGTTGCTTGGCAGCCGTTGTGCCACAAAGTAAATCTACCGAGATGTGAAGCTCAGCGGCGCCATTTGATCATGACTTGTGATGTTTTCGGCACCGAACAAACAAACACTTTAACTCTTTGTTATTTATTAGGAAATACTTCTAAACCAGCCCACGGTAGCGCCACTCTCGAGTTACTGAAATCAACATGCTCGACCAAATTGCTGGAAAAGTTATTGACGTATATGCACACACATTCCATTGAAGGCTTTGACAGGGTTAGTGCGAAGTTTGAATTCAGATGTGAAAGCTTTTAAAACAGTAAATTCGGTGTAATTTATTTTGTCAACAAGTTGATGATTGGATGCTCTTAAAAATAACAGAGAAAATTGTCCGAAGAAATGTTTTAGAAGAAAGATAAAGAATCCTGGGTTAAGTTAGCACCAATCAGCCTTTGAGTAAAATGTTCTATTTACACGCCCGACGCACTTTGGCCAATATCTCCTCCGATTACAAGCACTTGACACGGAACCATACGATAGCTTTTCCAAACCCTTCTTATAATGATACACAGTTTAAAGAGAGGTTTCGCTGTATGCAACCCTTACGTTCAAAATATGCCATAATCATATTTATCTATATCGCAACCGCCCTTCCCTCTCAACTGCTACCTGTATACCTAACAAACATATCGAACGCACTCTCCTAAGCACCGATTACTCCTAATATATGCACTCCTCTTTCTTGGAAAAATGGCCACCTTCAGAATAACAAGGGTGGCCACTGGACTCTTACCAAGAGTAAGAGAATAAGCCAATTCCTAGAAAAAACCCTCTTACTCTTTAGACCAAATAAATAAGTGATAGATGCTATAACCCTTTAAGCTTCAAGATCAACATGGAAATTCTCCAAACTGGCCTCCATACAATTCTTGAATAATTGGTTGAGAGAATTTGTTTAAAGATTAAAGCATATTTCCTTCAAGTGATCATTTTATTAATTCTCATAACCTTTCTACTTGATGATATACTGATGTTGTTTGGGGAAAATTGATGTTGATCACTCCTGGGACTTAAAGGGGTAAATAAATCACGACTGTAACACTTCACGTGGACTGATCTTGGATGGAAGTTGCGATTTATTTTTGATCTTCCAATTTCATGTGCTTGAGTGTTTCCACTTTACATTCCAGTGTTATTATGAAGAATCAATTACTGATACCATTTTCTGGCTGCTGTTTGGTTGTTTGTTTGTTTGTTTGTTTGTTCCTGGTCCAAACAGGAAGTAGGGAACCGTTACTTAAAGGGGCTATGTCAGCTGGAGAGCATGCGCTCTGAGGTTATGCAAATTACTTTCAACTGTCAAAATTCTATTGTTTTTAACGCGTGACTTTCTCCATGTTCTCTGTCACGTCCAAGGCTCCGAATTTAGAAAGGTTTATTACAAGCGAAATGGGTTTAGATAAGGGATATTTCGATAGAATTTACGGAACGTTTCTTCTCTGGTTATGCTAGATCAAGAATAAAATTGTGACGACAATTTTACTCGTAGTTTTGGAGTAAAAACGCATGCTATTCATAAAATAGTGCGCAAACAAAAATTCAACAACAACATGTTGTCTTATTCAACAAAATAAATCGAAGTTGTATTTTACAAATGAACTACAAAAGACGCTAGACAGAAGATAAAGACCAAGACTGTTTCAAATCATTAACAATTAGACTTGTCTGTCGCTAGTGATTTTATAATTTAGATCCTGATAGAACAAGAGACATCAAGTCTTTGTTTTGATCTTAGGGAAACATACATTATCGCGCAAAATTGTTCGATCGTGCCGAATCACTGCGACGTCGAGAAAAACAGAACCAAGCGTCATTGGTATACTACTCCACTATAAGCAGTCCGTTGATAAAAAGGGAAAGTAAACTCTGCTATTTTCCAAAAATATGCTCTAACACAAACATTTCAAAAACATGGCATTTACAGGATCTAACTCGTACTAAGGTGCCTCTCCAGCCTGGTGCCTCTCTAAGTCCGTTGAGAACAATCTGGACGAGCAAACGGTCGTGTTTATATTTGCCGTGAATCCAGATAAATACAAGAAGGAATCTAGCCGAATTTTATAATGTTTCCTTCGCCAGGAGTTTAGTTTGGTCACGAAACTCATGGCCTGATGCTCTTGTAATCGTTTACCAAAAACGGCCGCCGCCAACTCGATAGCCGCTTCATTAAATGTCCACATACTTTGAGCACAAGAAAAATCCAAGAGCCAGCAACCTCTAAAATAACTCAATAGAAAGGTTCTGTGAACTATAGGGAAGATTCCATTAAAGATTCCATCACTCATTGTGGAGTAGCCGTTATTAACTCTGCCATTACAACGGCCGCTGATAAGAGGATACAGTAAATCCACGTAAAAACATTCCACAGGCAAACAATTTCAAAATAACGCCAAAAAATTATTCTGTAATCTCCATAGAACAATTCTTAATACAAAACTTCGCTAACTATCGAACGATGGCTGAGATTTAGACAGATAAAAACAGCCTTCCAAAATCTCCGACAGAACATGAAAAAGACGGGCCGACTTTTTCAAGTTTGTTTTCATTGGCTCGCGCATGCGTGTGGGGTGACATAGCCCCTTTAAGTCTGTTCCTTCCTCTTCCTTTCTTGTGTTTATCGTTGCATTTCACAGTAAATTAAATAACCCTGCCCCCTCTCAAATAATCCTCCCTCTCTGTTTACCTCCCCCCATCAAACATGCTTGAAATGAAAATGCCTCCTGGGAGTTTAATAGAGGATTTATGGTAATACAGGTTTCACTATATTGTCTGTATGAATGCTGTAGGATGAACCTTAATTACCGTTATTTTTAAAGTGTGTTATTTTACAAACCATAAGGAACTGTCATTTCGAAATACAAAGTAAACAAATAATCAACTGCCCCATGTTGATGGATTCTCTAGTTTCAAGGGTTCATGTAAAATTTTAGGTATCTAATCAGCTGGTTTATGGTGTGGAACCACTTTTTCATGAGCGGGTGTCTTAAAAGTTTTCTAATTTTCCACATGCCCGTGACAAAACCACCTTTAACCTACTCACTTCAGGCCTCTAACCACCTGGTGGAAAAGTTTACGCTGGCAGAAACAAAACAAATAATGTGTATTTACCTATTTATGGTTCTTCATCTTTCCAAAGGTATCCTAATTGCAAAATCTTTAAATCAGAGAAACCTCAATGTCCCTTGAGTGTCAGCAGTGTGGCAAGTGTTTTAACAATGCAGGGCACTTTAGGGCTCATAAAAGATTCCACACTGGGGAAAAGCCATATGAATGTAAAGAGTGTGGCAAGTGTTTTAGCCGATCAGGAGCCCTAACGATACATGAAAGAGTTCACACTGGGGAAAAGCCGTATGAATGTAAACAGTGTGGTAAGTGTTTTAGTGTAGCAGGAAACCTAAGGAGACATGAAAGAGTTCACACTGGGGAAAAGCCTTATGAATGTAAACAGTGTGGCAAGTGTTTCAATCTAGCAGAAAACCTAAGGACTCATGAAAGAGTTCACACTGGGGAAAAGCCTTATGAATGTAAACAGTGTGGCAAGTGTTTTAGTCTGGTAGGATACCTAAAGCGTCATGAAAGAGTTCACACTGGGGAAAAGCCATATGAATGTAAACAGTGTGGCAAGTGTTTTAGTGAAGCAGGACACCTAAGGACTCATGAAAGAGTTCACAGTGGGGAAAAACCTTATGAATGTAAACAGTGTGGCAAGTGTTTCAGCCAAGCAGGAAGCCTAAGGACTCATGAAAGAGTTCACACTGGGGAAAAGCCTTATGAATGTAAACAGTGTGGAAAGTGTTTTGGCCGAGCAGAACACCTAACGATCCATGAAAGAGTTCACACTGGAGAAAAGCCTTATGAATGTAAACAGTGTGGCAAGTGTTTCAGCCAAGCAGGACTCCTAAGGACTCATGAAAGAGTTCACACTGGGGAAAAGCCATTTGAATGTAAACAGTGTGGAAAGTGTTTTAGCTTAGCAGCACACCTGAAGCGTCATGAAAGAGTTCATACTGGGGAAAAGCCATATGAATGTAAACAGTGTGGTAAGTGCTTCAGCACATCAGAAGATTCCACACTCGTGAAAAACCTTATGAATGTAAACAGTGTGGTAAGTGTTTTAGTCAAGCAAGACGCCTTAGGACTCATGAAAGGGTTCACACTGGGGAAAAGCCTTATGAATGTAAACAGTGTGGCAAGTGTTTCAGCCAAGCAGGAAGCCTAAGGACTCATAAAAGAGTTCACAGTGGGGAAAAGCCTTATGAATGTAAACAGTGTGGCAAGTGTTTCAGCCGAGCAGGAAGCCTAAGGACTCATGAAAGAGTTCACAGTGGGGAAAAGCCTTATGAATGTAAACAGTGTGGCAAGTGTTTCAGCCAAGCAGGACATCTAAGGACTCATGAAAGAGTTCACACTGGGGAAAAGCGTTATGAATGTAAACAGTGTGGCAAGTGTTTCAGCCGAGCAGGAAGCCTAAGGACTCATGAAAGAGTTCACACTGGGGAAAAGCCTTATGAATGTAAACAGTGTGGCAAGTGTTTTAACCAAGCTGGAAACCTGAGGAGTCATGAAAGATTCCACACTCAGGAAAGGTCACTTAAATTTTCCCAGAAAAACAAATGTCTGTCCAAACGATTGGAATCCTGTAAAAGGAAGAGAGCAGGAAGTGAAAACGTTGTGAGGGTCACAGGCTTTACAGAGAACCAGCAGACACAGAGAGAAACCGGAAACAATGGTGTAACAGATGCACGATCGGTCTTTATTGAGAAACACAGCTGTTGGATTTGTCAAGAGGAGATTAGTAGTGAGGCTCTTCTTCTTCAACATTATGAAAATCATGTGACCCATGTTTGTGACAATTATTGTTGAAGTTAAAAAAACGGTTTGGTCCTTTTAAGTTCTTTTCTTTCTTTTGTTTTTTTTTTGGTGCTTTGACAACATTTTTTATTTTTCAAACTCTCAAAACGTCAATTGGTTTTGTTTAAGGCATGTTGCTTTCATACTGTTCATTCGATGTGAATGATTATCAAGCTGGAAAAATTCGATGAAGGGACAACTTCTGTATTAATTCTTCCATAGAGGAAACACTCGATTTAAATCAAAGTCTTAGTGCCTCTTAGTTTAGTCTGCTACAGAGCCGTTTTTAGTGTCGTCACGCAACGCTCCTCCCCACAAACGGTTTGTGGGAAGAGCGTTGCGTGACGACACTAAAACCGGCTCTGTAGCAGACCACTCTTAATTTTAAGCTTTACATTTTTACGTGACCATTTATAGAAGACTATAACTTCTCATGATATGAATGGAAAGAAACCTTTTTTCTTACAATGTATAAAAGGGCTTTCTTACTTTCATCCATATTCTACAGTCTTGTATTTATGATGTTCTCATGGCCGTGGTTCCTGGAACCCTCCAGTTATTATAATAACTGTTACCCCATATTAAAGAATGCCAGTCACTTATTGGTGTTGAAAGGCCCTATGTATTACGTCTGATAGTATAACGTGCCCTATTCCAGTAAGTTGCTTTATATTACTACAACTTTATGGTCAACTTAATAATTCCAAGAAAAATAAAACCAAGTAATTGGTGGTTCAAATTCGATTTTTAATGCCTTTGATCTCTTGGCGAGTTTTGTTAGTCCTTGTCTGGTAACCACTCTGGCTGAGATCAAACCCACTTCACACCAATTTATCTGTTATATGCAACGAAAATTACACTTTAAATTTTAAACGATCCACCTCCGTACTAGGATCGTTCAGATTGGCATCTCAATCTGGTTTCAGATTTTTGTTCCATTTAACGAAACTGCTTTTCGATCGCAAGAACGTGCTCGTTCATCAATAAAGACGTTAGTTCAGGCAACAGTTATTTATACTCCTCCTTTGTTCAATGCCGCCAAAGGATTGTGGTATATTAAACTTGTTACGAAAAATTGTATTGCGTGACTTTCTAGAAGGTTCGCGAGAGTTCATAGTTTGTTTATTTTAGGATCTTGTGTAAGCGTTTCTAAAGCGGTATATTTTGTAATCTTTCTATAATAAGACTATTTAGAAAGTTCTAGAATCTTATTGTAAAAGTATATAAGTAGGCGAGTCCGAGTTAAGTTTTAACTAGTTTTCACAAGCGAAGAGAGTTTGACGTTAGTCGTGTTTAGTCAAGTGTGACGAAAGCACTGTTTATTCAAGTTGGCGGAGGCCGTGTAAGTTTAACGAGTTACGTGCTGTTGTGGAGTTTTACTCCGTGGAAACTACGTTCATTTTTGGAATAAATCTTCTTGTTGCTGTTCCGACAACCCTGCGTTCAGTTTAGTTTGCAAGCTATCCGTCCTCTAAAAGATTACCCACGTAACAAAACTTAAGTTCCACTGTAACTCTATATCCATAAGGAAGCGAAAACGCTTGGATTTTCTCACCGATTTAAAGTTGTCCAATGTGTGTGTGTTTAGAGCCCAGTGGGGGGCGGGGGGCGGTACTCCGGAGTTTAAGTGACAGCAATGATCAAATGGGGAAAAAAATCAAACCCCCCAAAAATTTATAGGGCTTCAAACAAAACCCAAAGAACTCCCTCCCTGGACCAAAATTTAACCAGCAAAAAAATCCCGTGCCGAGCCATAAAAATTTCCAGCAAGCGTTAAATGATATAACAGTCATAAATCTTCAGATAGTTTTGAATACCCAAAACAATCTCTACGTAAATCAAACTGCCCAAAAAATACTTGCTAAAATTTTCCTACTTAAACAAATCCAGGAATCGAAAATTGAAATCCGGAGTACTCCCCTCCCCCCCCCATGCTCGCTGGGGCTTAGAGCGCGCGTGTCAGCACTTGAGAAATTGCAATTGTCTTCCAAATTGTCTTGAATCAAATTCAAGATAATTTTAAGTTGACAAGTGGTATTAGCATGAACCACCACTAGTTAAAGAGCAACGTTTCTTTCCATTTTTCCACTAAGAGAAGACGCTGAGTTTGGCGGAAATTGTTGTAATTGAGAAGTAGATCAGAGCAGCAGTCGGCTGCTGTACAGATCAATCCAGTTATTTGAAATGTTGTTCCTGCAAGCACGAAAATCCAAACAATCTGGATTTTTTTGGAACCGTACTGTCGGGATATTATGGTGTGATAACCAAGATTAGACAATTTTGTAATAGTTTACGCACAGTTTACGTTAGGTTTATAGAAAAAAAGCTTTGGTTTACCGTGTTTATCACCGCCTCTCGCCGTGTTTTTCTTTTTTCATCAGTCTACTACTGGTGACCTAAGAAGATCATAGCAAAACCAGTTTTACCAGTTTTCTCTGATTCTCCGCATTTTGTAAAATAAAATTAAAAGAATTTTTTAACAATAGTTTCTGTTAGTACCTGTCAAGTCTAAACACAAATATACTAAGGGACTTATGAGTCAATTCACAATTTAGCCACGGAAAGAAAATTAAAATGTACAGATTGGACATAGGATATTAAATACGTGAATGTGATCATACCCGCTGGAATAATGGCTAATTCAAAAAAATTAGTTAGCTTAAAAAGATACAAAAATCAATCGAGAAAAAAAAAGCTATAGAAATACCAGCTAAAATTTTTGAAAAATATATTCATCATCCGAACGTCAAGAGTCTGTCAAGCCAAGCTCCTTAAAGAACTGTTCAGATTTAGTTTCTCTTTCATTCGCTGGATACTACTTCGTGCGCCTCGTTTTCTTTTAATTCAAGCCTATGTAAAAAATAATAACTGTTTATTAAGACTCATTGCAGCAATATACAGAATGGCTGAATTACAGAGCTATTTACAAACATATAATACCAACATATAATACAATAAATCCAATAAATATTAGAAAAAATTAATTGTACAAGCCACTAGGTATACTTATGCGTGACAAACTCTTGCGTGCGCTTGGTCCTACAGGTAGGACGCGTGGAGCGGCTAAGGCCAGATCTAAGATTATAATTATGCACAACATCCTCCTGTTTGGGGAGCATAAAATGCAAGGGGTGATTCTCATTCCGGAGTCTATCAATATAAACCTGGCATAGATGGGGGCGTCTGTCACTTAGAGTTGTTAGACTAAGGGCATTTAATGCCTCGTTGTAATTCATGAAAGGAAAAATGATGCGCATAGCCCTTTTCTGAATGCTCTCAGTCTTATAAGATAGAAAATCTGGTATATTTTGCCAGAAGGTGTAGCATATTCTGGAACAGAACGACAATGGTTGTATAAACCTTAGCCAGTGAAGCTGGAGGTGCACCACATTGCTTAAGGACCCTTAAAGAGTAAAGCCTCCGGTTTCCCTTTTGCACCATAACTTCTACATGATGGTTCCATTTCAGGTCATTACTTACACAAACGCCTAGTAACTTATATGTCATGACTCTCTCAATTGTGTTACTACCACTTACAATAGGATTCACAATAAAATTATGATTACTCATAAAATTAATTAGCATCTCCTTGCATTTAGTAGGGTTTAATTTCATTCTGTGATCTTCAGGAAAAGCATAGATATAGTTTGTAACAAAATTGAGTAGACTGGCACTGTTCCTAGGGATTATTTCAAGGGCTGTGGTATCATCAACAAACTTTATTCTAAGGTTCCATGAGCGCAATAAATTATTTGTCATGATTGTAAACAAAATGACTCCTAACTTGGTGCCTTGTGGTATACCGCCCTTGGGAGTTTTTCACTCAGATATAATGTTCTCTATCCTCACAGCCTGAGTCCTGTTACACAGAAGAGCTATTATCCAGTTAACTATAACAGGGTGCACTTGCATGTTCCTTAGCTCCTCAATCAGCACACCGTGGTCAATCATGTCAAAACCTTTAGAGTAGTCAGCAAAAAACAGCCTAGCACCACAGCTCCCTGTATCCGCTGCCTCATACACAGCCTGCAGCAAATAGACTAACGCGTCAGTGGTGGATTGTTCTGCACGTGCAAACTGACGAGGGTCGATCTGATGAGACACTTGAATAATCACGCGGTCCCGTGGGAATCCCTCAAGCACCTAAGCAAGAGTGCATGTCAGAGCGATGGGCCGCAAATCGCTCTCTATCCGCTGCGGAGGTGAGATTTTAGGGATTGGGTTCAGCAGTGAGGCCTTCAAGGCATCAGGAAAGTAACCCTCGATCAGGGATGCGTTGTAAATATCCTTGACAACTGGTGCTAGTTCTTAAGCGAACTCTTTCAGTACCCTGCATTCAGAATCAAACTTAAGTTACTAGAGTCGAACTAATCCGTCTATGGCCCGCGTAGCGGGCACTTGAAAGGGAAGGAAAAGTGGGTGTTTTGGCGCGGCCCCTGGCGTTTCTTTCGCGCTCAAAACCCCCTTTCCCTTCCCTTTCAAACGCCTGCCACGCAGGCTAATCTGTCTATTTTGGCGTATTTTGATGAAAGAGTAGCCGTGTGTCTGTGCATAAGCGGCAGCCGATAAACCGTCCTTACTCTTAAGTGTCTGGAAAACAACCAATCTGGCATTTATGTCTTGCACTGTACTTGCTCCCGATATTGGTCCCGGCGTAACCACTTGAACTGCCGTTCGGCAATCCAACTTAATCGAACTCAATCGAACGATTAGTTTCGATTAAGCTCGGTAATTGAACACAGTCGAACCAAAAAAATTCGTGAGAGATCGATTTCGCCACTCAATCGAAGCAATCGAACTTAATTGAACGTTCTAATCTACACTCAAAATAGGCAACAAAAAAGCAACAAAACAACCAGATTATCTAAGATCATTAAGACTAAATGTTCCGGGTTTATTGGATTCGCTTGATCGCCTTGTTTTACTGTAGCAGTGCTTAGTTTCCCTAGTCCACGTGGCAGATACAAAAGCGGAGAAGGTCTGAACCTAAGAGGGACGCTATAAAGTAAAAT